GGCACTGGGAGGTGGAGGGGCTAACCACGGGCTGCCCCGCCCCCCCTTCCCCCCAAAAATGTTAATACATACATCTATATATCTATATCTATCTATCTATCTATCTATCTATCTATATAGATAGATAGAGATTTTTTTTTTTAATTGGGGGGGGGGGGGTTGGTTGCGTCAAGGTCACCTGGCCCAAAAACTGCCAATCAAGTAATACCAGTCACTCGCTGATGGGGACAAGCACAAAGTCACAGTTGCATATGCGCCGTTCATGTTCATGTCATGTGAACGAATCCAGTCAAGCTGTTGTTGATGAAGCGCATGACGCTCCTCCTTGAGCTCAAGCGCCGCGCCAGGCCTCGAACGTCGTGTCAGCGGAGAGGGCGTTGAGGCTCCGTGTCGGTTCAAAACCCACCGAGCTCACCGTTGCCTCGGACGGTCGAAATGAGAAAAGACGACGACGAGGAAACCCCAAGCCCAAAACAAAGACGAGACGACAGAATAATCAAGAAAACCGGAGGACTGAAAAGGATCCGCGCGAGATGCCAAAAGCAAGCCCAAGACCCGACGAGTGCGCAGATGCTGAGTGTGAAGAGAACAAACATGACGACCAGGAAGACGCCCCTAAATCAATAAAGGCTCGGATAACCTGGGGGGGTGAAGGGGGCGGGGGGTGGGGCGATCAGACTGGGGCTTACACCCCCAAGGCTTGCTTGTTTTGGCTGCCGCCTCTCCCTCGCCCAAATTTCTTTTGAGTTTGAAACCTTTGACTCTGGCCAGGATCCATCGTGGCCGTCCTGTGAAAAAGGGCTGCACCAGTTTTGGTGTGTTGCTCTTCGGCTTGAACACGGATGCGTCGAAACGGCGAGGTCCATCGGACGAAAACCAAGAAGTGACCAAAACTGAAATTGAAGATGCCAACTTGACGAAATGAAAGTGTGGAGGGAAAACGAAGCGGCAATTGAAGATGATGCGCAAGTCAAAGACTGAAAAACCCGGAAGAAAGAAAAGCGGGACAACCAAGAAAGAAGCAAGGAAGGTGCCAAGGAGGACTGAAATGAAGATGAAGAAAATGAGGAGGAAGGAAACGCAGTCGTTTTGGGAGCTGATGGTGGAACTGGACACGCGACTCTCCAAGTGGACTTTTTCCTCTCTCGCTTTCTCTTTCTCGGCAAGCGATGGCGCTCACTGACGACTTTTGTTTTCCTTTTTCGCAGTGCTGCTCGGAACCACCAGGTGTCACTGTTAGGTCATCGCGGCGGACCTTGAAGCGCGTCCTACCAAATGAAACGACCGTCCCGTCCCGCAAGCTTCCCGGAACTTGTTTGTCCTTTCAAAGGTGGTTAAAAGCGGCGGAAGGGGTGAGTCAAACAATCGCCGTGACGAGTTTGAAAGCGGCGGAGGAGCGCGGGGGCGGCGCGGCGCGGCGTACTGACCGAGCAGTCCCTCGAACTGTTCGATGGCGAGCACGGCGTTGTCCTGCGTGCTGTGGTGCAGATGGTTGGGCATCTTGGTCATGTTCCAGGGCATGGAGCGGCACAGCGGGATGCGCACAGGCTCGCATGCCGCCGCCGCCGCCCGCGGCGGAGCCAGCGCGCAGCAGGCGGCCAGCGCCGCCACCAAGGCTCCCCACTGCCTCATTGCCGGATCGCGGCGACTCGGGACTGGCCGCTGGCTGGCTTCTCGCGGAGTTTGTCGGGAGCGGCCGCTGTGCTCGGCGATCCGCTGCCTGTCCTTCTGACTGTGAGTCGGCTGGTGAGGGGAGGAGAGGAGAGGGCGGGGCAGGGGAGGGGAGGGGCGCGCTTCTTGCTCTCCTCCTCCCCCTTGCACACTTTCTCTTCTGTCCAACTCTCCTCCTGCCC